TCTCTCCTTCCTTCCTTTCTTCCCCCCTCCCCTTCTCTCTCTCTTTCTTTCCTTCCCCCCCCTCTTTTGACTCTCGTTTGAAAAGCCTCCCGCGGACGAAGCGAGCGCTGTGCAAAGTTTTCTAAGAGGTGGAAAGAGATTTGCAGCACCAGGGTAAGGTGTTTGGACGGGAGAAAACAAGTCTCCGGATCCTTAAACAAACCCCCTTTTCAGCAATAAAGCACACCGGGGGAGGGGGGGAAAGCCCAAACCGACTTTAAACGGTACATTAGTGACAACATGCGAAGGACCATGTGACCAGATCATTCCTAAAGCTAAATCAACACCTTGTCAACACAATGCAGCGACAAGAGTGAAAAACAAATGTCATTTTCACAGTCTGAAACCCATAAACCCCCATCGGATGCACTGGCACCAATGTTAGATGCACGCAGACCATTTAAAATGAGAGGGAATAAGAGGCAAAGGGGAAAGTACACCGGGGGAAAAAACCCTGTCAGCCACGTCAGTTGCAGAGCAAATGATTCTCTGTCAACCAGATCCTGAAGAACGTAACGTAACAACGCTGCTCCAGTGCAAGTTATTCACCTCCCCGTGCCAGTGCCCCCAGCATCCCCGCTCCCGCCCGCCGTCCCCACTCCTCCCGAGGCAGAGCTTGCCCAGCCGCCTCCCGCCGCAGCGCCCTGCCAGCCGGAGGACTCTCAGGAGGCGAGGTTCCCCCCCGCCACTCGCAAACTTCGATCTTAGGCAGCGGGGAGAAAAAGAAAAAAAAAAAAAAAAAAAGACAACACACCAAGCTTTCTAAAAGCTTTCAATTTCGGCCGAACTGCCCAGGACGGGGGTACAATATTCTTTCAGAAGTGTGCACAGCGCCAACGAGCGACCCCAGCCAGGAAACTTCCCCTGCTGCTGGAGGAGAACCCTCGAGTGAGCAGCAGATAAAACTCCCCAGCACCAAACTGCAGTCAGCCAGCACACAGAAAAGGAAAGTGCAAGAAGCACCAAGCCAGACCAGGTCCCCAAAGCTGTTCCTAGCCCCGTGCGGGAGAGCGGGACCCCCGCTGCATTGTACTGTGGTTTAAATGTCGCTTCCAGGGTCCCTGACCCTGCGCTTCTCACGTTTAAACCGATACCCAGGGTTTGCTTTTCCCAGAAAAGGCAGAGCCCGGGCTTCCGCGCTCCCCTCTGAAGAGCACAGCGCCCCGAAGCCGGCGGCTCTGAGGTCTCTGTAGGTACTCGGACACGGGCAGGCTGCCTTCACGGTTCTGTGTCTTATTTCCTCAAGCCACTACCTTATAATTCATAAATATCTGAACCAAAAAACCCGGCAGTGACCGAGGTCACGCAAGTCGGCTGACCGAGAATTCCTTCCCAGCCCTGACAGCCTGGGACAAACCTTTCAAGACATTAACGCGTTTATTTCAGGCAGGCGTAGCCCCTTCCTAAATGGAGGGGGATTAAATTCAACCGTGAAACCTGTTTTGTCGAAGCAACCCCTAAACGCGGATTATTTATTGCCCAAAGTTAGCGCATTTTCAGCGGGCTATGAGCTATCTTTGAAATCGGTGGCTGTCTCCAGCGAGCTGGACCAGGCGCCTAACTTCTCCCCAAAAGCCACCCGGACAGGCACACGCGTGTCTGTGCCTGCGGGTACCTGACACGAAAGCAGCACGTTTTCCTCCAGCAGCCTGAGCTTAATATTTTGGAACGAGGGAAACCCTTTTAGTTTTTTTTCATATTGGTTCTCTCCCCCCTCCCCCCCGCTCGGGCTGATAGCACGGCGAATACCAGCACTTCACAGTCAATACAAACAGCCTCTCAACCAGGACAATATATATATTTACACATTGACACACGGAACAACTAAACGTAAAATATACGGCGATAACACTCGCTAGGAGTAAACACTGCCAGCCAACCGATTATTTAGAGGCCTTAAACGGGTTATGTCAAAATGAAGAAAAACAGAAGTGCATTCTCCTGCTAAGAATCGGCCGCATTATTGAAAATCCATACAGGCAATAAGCTATCAACCCCCCCTCGACAGGTCTCTAACAGAAAATACATACATAAAAAATAGAAGCATCGCTCCGGGTAGGTTTGTGTACTTTGCACCCGTCTCCTCTCGGAAAACTCTCCCATCAGGACTAAAGCCGCCGTCATTCTGCATCTTCACCTACTATCAGTCAGAGCCACTTCTGCTGTCGAGCCTGTGATTACTCTTGCGCTTAAGAACGGCCCCGTATGTTTTAAAGGAGGGACGGGGCTTCTTTCAGAGCAGGCACAGGGAGCTCAGGCATCCCTGCGCAGCCCGCTGCAGCGAGGGGAGACCTGAATATTGGCAACATGGTGCAAAAGGACCCCAGTCCCTTACGTCGCCTCCCTGGAACTAAGCGAAGGGCACTATCCCTCTACTTAAAAAACGCACTAAAATGTTAATTCTGGACTATCTCAGCGATCAGGTAGGTCACCCCCTCGTGTCTCTGGCAAACTGCAACACAAGTCTGTCTCGGTTTCCAGGGCGCACTGCACAGAGCCACTCAAAGTAGTTTTACTGGACTGGATTTTCAGAATCTCCCTGGTCTTTGGGACAGTCCCATAAAATTAGTTGCTCTGACCACTGCGGGCTACGCAAAAAAAAAAAAAAAAAAAAAAAAAAAAAAAAAAAAAAAAAAAAAAAAAAAAAAAAAAACTTTTTTAAAAAAGCTTGCAAATGGGCACGCACGCCCAGGTTTTTCTCAACTTTTCTGGAGAGTGGAGGAGGGAATCAAAGTTTCTAGAGGCTGAAAAGTGACTATCTCACTTCTACAGAAATGCGATTTTTCTGCTTATTTTTACCTGACTATTTGCAAATATTTACAGTAAGCACAGAGAAACATCCCGCGTCGTATATTGCCAAGGCCATACGATTACAAAAACATGCACCAGCAACTTTCCAGTGCTGCCCATCAGCAGCACGAGGAGCCCACTCGTGACACCTTTAAGCTCTGACAAAGGATTTAATGTAAATTTACCCTTCCCGGGCTCAAGTGAAAAAAAAAAAAGAAAAAAAAACCCCACACCAAACAGAGAAAAGAAATTCAGAACCCCCCCTGCTTCCCAC